ATTAGCTTGCTGTATGTTTGTTGTACGTACCTTTTAACAGATAAGGGAATTCTCTGCTGTTTCTAGTCTGCCAAGAGTTTTATCATGAATGAGGGCTGAAGGTTTCACACGCTTTTTCTGCATCTATGGAAATCACCCTATCATTTCTCTGCCTGTTCACTTTAACACCGTGGCTTGCATTGATTGATGTTCAAATGTTAAACCAGCCTTGCATTCCTAGAATAAACCTCATACTGTTCATGATGTAGTGTTGTCTACCCTCTTTATACAGATAATTGGTTGGATTTGCTAATATTTTTTTTTTAGGATCATTGCATGTACGTTTATGAGAATGATTGGTCTGTAATTTGTACCATTTCTAACCCACTGAATATCTCACGCTATTAGTTTAACTCATTTCTGTGGGAGTAAGCCCTCACTGTGCACGCTGCCCATGAGGCCCATTCCTACTCTGTACCAGTCTTTGAATTCAGCCTGCAGGCATCTGCTTTGGCAAAATTGCACCAAAAAGTTCATTTCTCAGTTTATGACTGAATTTCACGCTCAGTTAGATGCCAGGCAGGGCTCCAGCAAGCAAATCATCTCACCATGGCCCGTGGTCACCATGCAGTTAAAACCCACAACCAATTCTGCTGAAGCACTAGCCATATTCGGGGCACCGTGCTCAGCCCTGGGTGGACAGGACAAAGCCACTTCTCCCTCCCAGAGCTTGTCTAGCAGGGAGAGAGACTTGCCTATGTCGGGCAATGCTTAGTTAGCAATTCAACTTTGAAACAAAAGATTCCTCTTACCCCTTCTCTTTGAATCTTCTGAATCAGTTTCATTAAAGAGTATTTAAGACAACAGGTTAGTAGTTCAAAAACGTTTGTCATTGACAACTGCGTATTTGTCTGAGTTGGGATCACACCCAAACTGTACAGCTGATTCAGAAGTCACTCGGGTGCTGGGGCGACAAGCAGCCTCGTCGTCGCCACTGGTTGTAAACGTGAAGTAACAAATGTACCGCTCTTCCGATGCCAGCTGTGTCTGTTCTCGTCGGTTTTCTGCGGTCTGAGCATGTTGTGCCCGGGGGTGGTTGTGTGTGCTGCCTTCGTTTTTGCTTTGATCTGGTCTGGCTTGGTGTGTGTTTTATTTCGTTTTTCTCTTGTTTGCTATTTCTTCTGCCTGGTGCTCTCTAAGCCTCCGAGACCTGTGGTTCGCTGCCTGGCGATGTTTGAAAGTTCTCAGCTACCATGACTTCGAACATTTCTTCTGCTCTGTCCCTCTTTCACCTTCTGATATTCCAAGTACGCAGATGTTATAACTTTTGAGAGTATCCCAGTTCTTGGATATACTGTTCTGTTTCTTTCATTCTTTTTTTCTCTTTGCCCTTCAGTTTTGGAAGTTTCTTTGGGGTGGGGGGAAGGGCTGGCCGGTACAAAAGTTTCTATTGACCCGTCTTCCCGCTCACAGATTCCTTCCCCAGCAGGGTCCAGTCTACTGATGAGCCCGCCCCAAAGGCAGCCTTCAGGCCTGTGACAGTGGTTTTGATTTCTGCATTTCCTGTTGATTCTTAGTTCCCATCTCTCTGCTTACATTATCCATCTGTTCTTGCACGCTGCCCCCTTTTGCTATTAGAGCCTTTAACGTATTAATCATAGTTATTTTTAATCCCCCATCTGATAACTGCAGCATCTGTGTCATATCTGTGATGACACTGCAGCCCTGCCCGGCTGGTGTAAGGTGTGGAGACGGGGAGCGTTCCGTCATGACATTCTGATGAAATGGCATCCTTTGTGGGCCTGGGTCTTGGGGCTGTGGCCTTCACAAGAGTCCCTGCAGGGGCGTCACTCCCCTCCCCCCCACGCATGCACATGCGCACTCATGCGCACACACACACACACACACACGCGCACACACACTCCCTTCTCTGGCTTCGGAGTTCCTTCCCAATCTAATTCCTTGAATCCTGGCCCCTGTGGACTATCTTTGTTTTCTCCCTTAGGTGAGACAGGAAGGCTGGAGGAGCTAGTGGGAAAGGAAGTCCCTTCTCCCAGCTGGCATAGGCTGTGACAAAGTCTTTTCCCCGGGGGAGGAGCCTGGGCTCTGGGTGTGCTTCACAAGGACTCTCTACCCCTTCCCCTGCCAGAGCTTGCAGGGATCTTTCTCAGATCAGACCTGGTGGAGTTCCTGGAGGGAAACCCATGAAAGCATAGAGACCCCTAGACCGGTGACCACAGGACTTCCTCACTCTGATGCCAGTCCACACTCGGCCTCCAACAATTTGTCAAAATTATTGTTTCAGTGTCCCACCCGTCTGTGGCTCCAGTGACGTCCAGTCCAGGTCAGCCTTTGTCCCTGTGACTCTCCAGATTCCCCTGTCTCTCCCGATCTCAGGAGGTCATCTGCCCTGCAAACTCAGTCCTCTGATGGGCTCAAGAAAAGTCGTTAATTTTCAGCTTGTCCATCTTTTTTCTTGTTGTAAGGACAAGAGTCTTTCAAGTTCTTTTGTTTGTTTGTTTTTAAAGATGACCGGTAAGGGGATCTTAACCCTTGACTTGGTGTTGTCAGCACCACGCTCTCCCAAGTGAGCCAACCGGCCATCCCTGTATAGGATCCGAACCCGTGGCCTTGGTGAGCCATGGGCCAGCCCTAGAGTCTTCCAAGTTCTTTACATGTCGGAGCTGAAACTAGAAGTCCTACTACATCTGTGTTCTAAATTAGATTCCTTCATAAGATTTCACTGCTCAACATGCATTTGAAACCCACCTCCCCCCAAATCTGGGGATGTGAAAGTGTAGTTCTCCACTCCATGGTGGGAGCCACAGAGTGGGACACAGTGTGCCAGTGGCTCTAAGTACCCCTTTGAGAGAGCTGTGCAGAACAAGAGGACATTCCGTCCCCCTGAAGTGCAATTATGTTGGGGATGAGACGCTTTTCTCCTTGGAATGCCATCAGGAAGAATTCTAAGACTCTGACTAGCATCTCTCAGCACAGCCTGGGCACTGTGGAGGCGCCCAGCCTGCTCAGGAACATCAGCACCTCAGGGAGGGAAACCAAGTGGATCCCCTTTGACCTCTCAGTGCTTGGACAGGGCCACACAGCGCAAGTCTTCAGTAGGTGCTGGCTGCACTAATTCACCTGCAACTAAAGTCTCCAGGGACAGAAACTGCCAGGGCTGGGCTGCAGTTGCCAGGCATGACTCGCCCTTGCCCGATGCCCCCAAGCTCCAGCTCCAGCCTGGCACATTGTGGGGATGCCTAAATCATTTGCATAATTAAAATAAGTAAATGGTGAACTGAGAGTCTGGAGTGTCTAGAAGTCTCCAGAATAAATACAGCTTGGGCCAGCCCGGTGGCGCACTGGATAGTGCGCTGCTTGGGAAGCGCGGCGGCGCTCCC